CTTAACATAAATTAATCTTTCCATTTCCTCAGTTCTTAAGATTAATTTCTTTTGTAAGGGTTTTAATAAAGTTCAGCAAAAGTTTAACTCAGTAAAACCTGCTTCTGAACACATTAATCTAACCACAGACCTATTAGTCAACTTATGATTAAATTAAAAATCACTCAGGCAAATTATAATTATTTTCTGTCATGCATATTTCTCAAAAACAGAAGTATATGCATCTTGCACAATCTTGGATATAGTACTCCTAGAAAGATTTGTGTGTGTGTATGTTTAGGGGAGGACTTATTTACAAAAAAAGAAGACAACACCAGAAGTTCTATTCAAGTAACAACACCACTATACAAATATATTTTAACACAGTTTCTAACTGTAATGATATCCATTATAGCATGCCATTAAATTCGATACAGCAAAAAACCTTACAGAACTTTTCTGTCTTATGATCCACACTACCTAAGTGAATGGTTCAGATAAATTGTATGGCAACAAATAATATTTGCTACAAAAAGCACAAACAAAATGTCTTATTATGTCATGCTATGAAAAAGAGTTTTTCATTTTTATAAAGTGTTCATTTAGATAAAAAACACAAAGGAATGACAGTAGAAATGTTGTTTGGTTTTTTTTCCCCCCAGTTCTAGTGGGCACATTAAATATGGCATTTGTATGAAGTCATCTCCCCTGCTCTTGATATTTCTCTATTGTAGTATTTCTCAAACACTGGTTTATGATAACTCAACTGCTTATATCAGGATTACCTGGCGCTTTACTAAAATATGCAGATTTCTTGATCCCACAGCTGCTGAAGCAAAAATCTCAGAAAAGAATTCTGAAATCCCCAGATGACTCTTATAGAGCTATGATCTGAAGACCACAGGATAATAACTACAGTCATCACACTTAAGGTTAAATGACAAAGTGTTAAGTGAATTTAAGGATAATTTTTAATTTTCAAATTGTACAAATTGCACTTTCAAATGTAAGACCTGATCATAAATCAAGAAATAAAATGTATTTTTACAGCAACCTCAATCTTGTATTATATATAAGTTTAGCAAAGCAGAATAACATGATAAGAGTATAGAGTAAGCTAGGACAGAAAGCTGTAATTAAGAAGCAAAATCAAAAGTATATTAATTAAGCAAAATCAAAGAATATTAATCACAGAATTCTCTGAGTATAATCTAGGGGTATAAAAGTCAATATAAAGGTTACATTAATAATATGCCTGGAAATTGCATTATGTATAAAGAATTTGGTACCTTTAAAGCACTTAAAAAGACATCAATCTTCATGTATCAGAGCACAAGCATAATTAATCTGGTAACAAAAACCCCAATGCCTCATTTCACAAACTCCTATAAATTAGAACAAAAGGCCTTCTATTATTAAAGTATCTGTGAGCTACTCTTCAACCAAAACATTAAAAAGCATATCTGGACTACAGGAAGGAGGGAAAATATTAAAAAGCAAAACCCCTAAAACACTAAAGTTAGTATCACCAGAAAACATAAAACAAATTAATGTTACTACCCAAAGGCACATACATTAAATCTAATGAGAAAAAAAATCAAACAAACCCAAATTGAGGGATGTCTACAAAACAACTATCCTATACTGTTGAAAATATCAAAATCACGAAAGATGGAGACAAACCGAGGAGCCACTCTAGAGCAAAAGAGATGACAACTAAATGTAATTCCTGAACCTGGAGTGGATCTTGACTCAGGACACCTCTTCATGTGTACACATGCATCCATGCTGATGAGATTGGAATAGGTCTGTAGATTAGAGAGAGGTATGGTACGCATGCTGGTTTTCTGACTTTGATTATTATACTGTGGGAATGTAAGAGAACATTCTTGTTCTTAGGAAATACATATTAAAGAAATTAGGGGTTAATGTTTTCAACTTGCTCTCAGCTGGTTTACAAAATACTATGAATTGAGAGAGAGAATGCTACAGCAAATGGGACAAAATGTTAACAAGTGGGGAGGGGAGTTCAAGTGAAGGCTTTCAAGGAGCTCTTTTTACTACTCTTACAACTTCCCTGTAAGTTTGAAATTATTTCCAAATAAAAAGTGACATAAATATTCTTTAAAGTTATATTAAGAATACTAAAAATAACCTAAAATTTTGGAATATTTTTTAAGCTTCATATCCAACACAGGTACCTACGGTTATTTAAATATTTTGCAAACTTAGACTGAAAATATGAACCAATTGAATTTAAAGTTCAATTCAATGCCTGCAGACTAGAAATTACAAGACTGTGTTGCTCTTATTTTTTCATCTATCAATCATATGTATAATCTAGATCTATACGCATGTGGAAAGAAAATACCTCTACACTTTGCATATTTATTTGAAAAGTATTTTAAATGTGGCTTTTTATCGTTATCTTTTTCATTCAGTGATCCCTTAATTATTTATTGTATCAGTCTCATAATCTATAACTGATTGAGTTTGTTATAAAGTAGTCTTAAGCCAGAGTGTTGCCTATTTAATGGTACGCTGATAAGCTTATACACATATGCATAACAAAAAACCTATCACATCAGATTACTAACATATTGTATTTTGTTAAAGCACAGAGAAATATTTTGCAATGTGATTTACTAACCAACATGATCTAGTAATGATGCCAAAGGTTTGCTACCTAGGATGGAGGAAGGTGTTAACTCCCTACAGCAGGACCTGGCACATACAGGCACATGGTAAATATTAGTAGGGGGAGAAAAGATTACTGCAAGGTTCTAGATCACTTGCAAAATATCACTAGAAACCATAATTATGTGCTTAGAAATCTAGAGTTATGAAAATAACACTTCTGAAAATCTACGGACATCAAGTAAAAAGAGCTTTTGGTGAAAATAACTATAACTATGTTTATTTTGGCATGCTTTTTTTTTTCAGAACTGTCAAGAATGTTGGTTGGGTGTGGTGGCTCATGCTTGTAATCCCAGCACTTTGGGAGGCTGAGGCAAGAGGATTGCCTGAGCCCAGGGGTTTGAGGCCAGCCTGGGCAACTTAGCAAGATCTCATCTCTACAATAAACCAAAAAATTAGCCAGGTGTGGTAGTGTACACCTGTAGTTCAGTTACTTGGAAGGCTGAAGCAGAAGGATTGCCTGAGTCCAGCAGGTCAAGGCTGTGGTAGCTGTGAGCATGCCACTGTACTCTTTAAAGTCAAGTGAGACACCGACTTTAAAAAAAAAAAAAAAAAGGATGTTGCTGTATTCATCAAATTAAGACCTTAAAAAAATTTTAAACCTTGTATACTGGATAATATACCAAGCTATAAAGCTACAAAAATTTTAAAACAGCCAAAATTTAAAGGAATGCCAACTAATATAACTGAAAGTTGCTAACATCCATTTCTTCATACATGGTTTTTCAAATGCCAGTGTCTACAGGACTGAATTCAAGTTCTATTGAAAGTTATGGAGACTTAGGGAGAAATTAAAAAGAAGACACAGTCACAGGAACAAAATGCAAGGAAATTTCAAATTCTTTTTCTTTTTAAAATCAGACTACTGTTTAGCACTTTATTTTCTATACAAATGACAGTTTAGAATGGGTTAAATAAAGACGATATGAAGATAAAGTTTCGATATACTTTGAGTATATGAATAACAGTTCACCAAATAGTTTGTGTTTTCATTTTTATTAAAGTCAATAATAATTCCTATTTCAAGATATTCATAACTTGAGGAGGAAAAAGTATTACAGCTGCTTGAAAGGAGTGCCAGTTGAATTGATGAAAATTTTAGAAATATGGTTTAAAATATTTTCCACAAGACAAGCATCTAATAAATTAATATGTGAATTTTTTATACTATGTTACCAAAAAGGGAAAACGTCCTAAAAGTTTCTTCCATACAAAAATTCAAGATGAAAACTGATCAAGTAGTGTAAGAGCACAATGAACATTAGGGTTTTGAGAATCAGTAACCTAATCCATATTGCTCAATAAAATATTCAGCTGCAGAGGAAACATTAAAATGTCATGTAATAAAAGAAATAGCACCTTTAAAAAAACCAAGTTATTTAAAATAAAAGTTTGCAAAAATATTCTGAACTACAAATCTCTACATGAAAAAATTTTAAAGGAAATGATAACACAAAAATCAAGCAATTTTGAAAAGCAATGTTACATTATGATTGTAAATAGGAACAATACAGGACATTTAAAGCCAAAATTACACCTACATATCTATGGTAGCAAAAAGTTTCTTTTCTTTTAAAGTCATATATTTAATATTCTCTTCAAACTGGGTGAATAAATCAGCATACTTATTATAGGTGGGAAAATTTTTAAAGGATACTTAAGAATTAAAGCAGTATTGAAGTATCTCTGGTCTATCTATTTATTAAACACAAGGACAGGAGCTTTATTATGAGACTTTTTGCTATTCAAAGGAATTCAGAATAAAATGAGTCTGTTTTTAGATCATACCCCAAAACTTGTAGTTACCTAAGTACCACAAAGGGATTCTCATACCATGATTTTTACAAAATAATTCCATAGAGTGGCCTTTCTCAACCAAATTTCTGAGTACAACATTATAACAGATGACATAATATTATTATTTTTACTAGTGGGGCAAAGTGTACACTTATGCTCTTCCTAACCCCTTAAAATCCTTAAAGTTGAACAGGTGTTCTTGAGTAATTAGTTCAAATAAAAATAAGTTTACTCAGTGGAATAAGTCATCAACAGTTTAGAAATATTTTTTTCTTTTTTTTTTGAGTTGGAGTCTCACTCTGTCACCCAGACTGGAGTGCAGTGGCTGCTCCTGGTCACTGTAACCTCGGCCTGCTGGGCTCCGGCGATCCTTTCACCCCAGGCTTCCGAGTAGCCGGAATTACAGGCACGCGCTACCACGCCCGGCTGATTTTTGTATTTATTGTAGAGATGAGGTCTTGCCAAGTTGCCTAGGCGGGTCTCGAACCCGCGGGCTCAGGCAATTCACTCACCTCAACCTCCCAAAGTGCGGGATTACAGGCTGAGCCACCGAGCCCGGCTAGAAATATTTTTGAAGAATATTTTCCATTGTGACATCTACTTGAACATTTGTAGGCTTTATGCTGCTACTTTATCTACATCAAAAGTCTTACCATAGAAAATTATGTCCATGCTCCCAAAAATTGTTATTAATCATAAATGTTGCCTTATAACCCGAAAAAATAGATTGTAAGTTCAAAGAATACCAATACATTATTAACAAGTTATTATAATTTTGCATTTACTTTCACTTATAAATATCACTGGCAGGTATCAAAATGTTAAATCATTAGACTAATTTCTAAATATTGATTGTAAAAGCTTTGAGGAAAAAAAATGTGAGACTAACAAAAGTCTTTCCCCCACCCCTCAGATAACACACCTGATTATTTTCTTAATGATCAACACCCACCCAGGAGTCGGTAATATTTGCATAGTTCTTGTAAAAAATGGATCTGGTACAATAGGAAGACATATACTGCCAAGTAACACATGTCATAGGTTATATTTTAAGAAACCATACAATCCATGATATTTCATGAAGTTGTTTATTCTTGTTATTAAAACTTGGACTCAAGTAATCCTGGTTATTCCGGAAAAAGCACCTTGTTTGTAGAGATCATTTAATCATCCTTTTCTACAATCACCTCTCCATGAAGCACCTTTCTTCTTTGACGTAACATATGAAAATAGAGTTGTGGAAACACTTAATTGAAAAAAAAGAAAACAAAGAAAGATAAGCTATTGCTTTAGAAATATCTGTACTTGAAACCTTAATGTGGCAAAGTTTGAAAGTAAGTACTTGATATACCACTGCTGCCCCCCTGATATTCACAGAGCTCAGGGTAGGAACATGAATGGAGGGTCACCTACTATGCCTAAATATTCTAATGCCATAACGACTGGGGTTTTGTGTTCATTTAAATACCTTGATAAAAATATCTTCATAGTAATCTGGAAGGACATATTGGAGTTTAGAATTCTGTACACTTCGGAATACTGTGCCAGAATGTTCAGCACAAAGGAAGCCGGCCTGCCTGGGCTCCTTCTCTCTGCTCTGTTGGCTGTATCCTGTACCATGAGGAGTCTCATGCACATGTGTATGGATATCCCGTGCAGCTCCCAAAACAGGTGCTCCTTGGCTATTTCGTCATCTCAGGAGTGCTATACCTGTACATGGTTAGCTCTCAAAACAATGGATCAGGGAGGAGGTCTATTTAGGCCCCAGACACACACTCAGTGCCATCTAGACAGCAAATTCCAGGATCCCAGGTTTCAAGAATGTGATCTAGGGGGACATGGGGTGCTTTGTGGAAGAGTGATCAGTGAAGGGACAGAATAGGGTCCTCTAAACAGAGCCCATAGTAGAAGCTATTCTTGGCTGAGTGTAAGTGTAGCTGTTCGTCTATTATATATAAATACATAAATACATGTGCATTAGGTCAGTTGGACAAATGGTCATTTGTCCCTCAAATTTAGAGACTATCTTGAACTAATCTGAACCAGTGCTTTAATTCCTAGTATAAACATTGGCGGGTGAACAAATCAACATCAGCTATAAACAATACAAATGCAAAAATACAAATGCAAAAATGATTATCGGACAAATCAAACCAATGAAGCTAATCCAGAATAACCAAACTCATGAAACTAATCACACAACAAGCTTTGAATATCCTGCTTAGCCAACTTTGGGCAAAAATTTATTTTTAGAAATTAGCTCAAACAAAGCAAAAATGCATGGCAGATTTTACTTTTTTAATTTAGGTACTTCTCATCGTAACAAATTTAACTATCACATTATACCTAGGGATCTAAATTTACTGTGATTGTATATATTTAAAGCTAATTAACCAATTACTATAAATACTTTTATAAAATTCTGGGCTGGGCTCGGTGGCTCAGCCTGTAATCCCAGCACTTTGGGAGGCTGAGATGAGTGGATTGCCTTAGCCTGCGGGTTCAAGACCAGCCCGGTCAACTTGGTGAGACCAAATCTCTACAATAAATAAAAAATTAGCCAGGGTGGTAGTGCATGCCTATAGTTCTGGCTACTTGGAAGGCTGAGGTGGAAGGATCGCCAGAGCCCAGCAGGTCAACACTGGGGTGGCCATGAGTGTGCCACTGCACTCCAGCCTGGGTGATGGAGTGAGACTCAACTCAAAAAACAAAAAACATTCTGAGTAGTTCAGTAGAGGGTATATAGGGTTGAGTTCAAATCCTGGCTTTATTTACCAGCTAGGTAGATTTTTATACAATTCACTTAACCACTTTCATTGGTAATGTAAATGAGAAATAATGCCACTTCTTTTGAGTACTAAAACAAGTATGACCACAAACCAGTGGAAGTGAGGACCAGTTGGAAGCCCAAATATTTCCTGCTCATAGATTACTCATGTACCTCATCCTGACTTGTACCCCACATCTTTATGATAAAATAAAGTTTAAAAATAAAAAACAAAATCAATGAAACAAGTACTCAAAATTACTTTTAATTAGCAAAGGATTTAAAAAGCAAAGTAAAGACAGTTGATACTACTACTAATGTCAATAATGGAATGAAAAAACATCCCCTGGCTGACTGATCCTCTGGCAATCAGTCAGTAGCTGTCAGTATGGTGAACTGGATAGCTTCTACTGATATGGGCCAGAGTCACATCTCCCAGGACACCTGAAAAATACACAGTCAAAATGACGGGTTTGAAGCATCACACCATGATCCTTCAAGCCCTCAGTGTCTATGGTGATGCCTCAGTGGTCATGAGGAAGAGAACTCAATGCCTGGTCCTGTAACTATATGACACCTATGTAAACTCTGGCTCCACTCCATGCATGTTACCCTTTACCGGACACTAGGAAAAGTACAGGGTGTGAGCAAATAGTGTATGCTTCCCTCCTTAGCTCTCCTGAACTGGCTAGGTTGTAAGATCAAATACAGAGTCAGGCTGAAATGGTAGAAGATGACAGAGAAGAACATCTCTGTCAATTATGGCTTTGGAAAAGATTCAAAGTGGGAGACCTCAAGGGGCTAGCCAAGTTTTATGCTCATCCCCTCGAGATGAAATATTTCCTATCCTGTCAATGTAGATTTTAGACTCAACAGGCTTTTCTCATCTCCTTTTTCCCCTATGGACATCAGAGTCTCTAATTTTATTGAGAATAAATAACAACCTTGCTTTTCCCTCATAGTTCCTGCAAGTGACTATCAACATTTAAGTAGTACTTAAATGAAGGGAGTAAAGTCTCACCAATTCATTGCAACTACTGAAAAATGATGAGAAATTGGTGAAGAGGCTGAATTATTCAAAATATTTTAGGAAAAGTAGATTTATTATTTTCAAGTACACGGAACAACACAAATAAGATTAAAAGGTACTCTGGGATGTTTTTCCCAAACATATGCTTAATGAACAGACAGAAATGATCTGATCTGACATTTTCTTGGATAGGATGTTTAAACTTGGATAACCAAATTCTAAATGCTTGTAAAGAGTTTACTGATGCATGCTTTAAAAGCGATTTTATCCTTTTTCTTTAAAAAAAAATCATACTAGGCTTATTTTAAAATAATTTTTAGAAAGCAATCATTTTGCATTAATTAATTTACCTTTCTTCATAGCTAGTGAAAGTTCTGACACTCCCCATTTTTAATTATTCCAAATTATGAATAAATGTGAGATTAAATAAAAGTTTTAATGTATTTATAAACAATTATTTCTAATTATCCTTGCTTATTAAACTAGCCTATGATGATATTTTTCATATCATAAGCTAAATCAAAGGACTAATAAGTAAAATACTTACATGGTATATATGAGGCCATGGTTATAAGAAGAAAATAATAGTAGTCAAAAGAGACATTGTATTTGTTAGGAAGTCGTATTGAAAACATTCCTGATTTCTTCACATATGGCAAGGCAGCATGTATTGTAAGAAGTTCACCAGCAACTCCGACAGGATATAAGATGATAAAAAAATTGTATCTGGAGAAAGAAAAACCTCAGATAATTATTTTCTCAACAACTACTGAATTTTATATTATGGTTCTTTTGCTACTACTGTATTTAAACTTTAAAATGCTCTTTTCTTTACATATCTACAGGAATCTCACATTAAAAGGTTATTTTTTCTACTTTAATCATTCACTTATTATCCTTTTTTAAACTAAGTTTTCATTTTTAATGGCAAGATCTTAATAAAATAAGAAGTCAACCTACTTTACAGTACTGAAATACTTTTATACATTAAAAACGCATATGCAGTTTTTAAAAAAGAATCATAAAGGTAACTTCCTTAGTGCATGGAATAAATTGCTTTTTTCCCCCTGCAGCTTGTCATTTACTGATCAAATGCTATGCCTAAATAGACCAGTTACGATCCTAATTTTCTGTCTAAACATTGCAATTACCAATGTGGGTTATTTTAAAGAGGTATTTATAAAACTTTCTGTGGTTACTAATTAAAAGTTATTACTATTGCAGAAAAGTGACACTACTACATAAAGCATCACTAACTACTAAGTATATTGTCTAAAACTGTTCTCATAACAAAACAAGTTAAGACAAGTTACTTCCTGAATTCCCACATTAAAGGAGAAGTTAGCTTGCTTGAAATAGAGCTGAAAAAGTTCCATTCAAAATCCAAAACTGCCATGGGTTCATTTGGATTGTGGCAAGGTCTCTAATACAGAGTAAGCCAAGCATCACTTAAGCCTCCATTTAGGAAACCCTCTGTGTTCTACTGACTAGTCTCCAATAGGAAGACCCTCAAAGACCCAAGATAATGATATTTCTCTATTAAAGAAAATCATTTTTCTGCAAGTCAGTCATTAATTATCATTACCACAGAAAATTAAGGTCAAGATCTTGATGGGAAAAAAAAAATCAAATTAATCTGTATTTTTAAAATCATTTTGATGGCATTAAGAAATATCTGTAAAAAAAAAAGCTAAATTTGTCAGTACTGAAGAAGCTTGGAGACAATTTAAAAATCGCTTTATCCCTGTATGCCAAAGGATATATAAGGATAAGAGACAGAAAGGAAGACAAAATGATTTGCCAAAAATATTAGTTGTTAAAAAAAGAATGATTCCTTGACTGTATCCGTTTACCCTTTCCTTGCTAAGACTTTCTTACTAGTCTTGAGTAGCTGCTTGTATATCACTTACATCAATCTTTTCCTATATTTCAATTATTAAAATTCCGTAACTGAATATTTTATATTCCCTTCTCAAATAAAATATCAAAATTAAATAGGGTTATTTTCCCCTTATTTTGTGTGGTTCTCAAAAGATTTTTTGGGTAGCATTGTTCTTTAATAGAAAAAAAAGCTGGGTACAGTGGCTCACGCCTACAATCTCAATGCTTTGGGAGGCCGAGGTGGGAGGATTGCTTAAGCACGGAATTTTGAGACTGGCCTAGGCAGTGAAACGCCATCTCTACAAAAAAATTTAAAAATTAGCCAGGTGTGGTGGTGCACGCCTGTAGTTCCAGCTACCCAGGAGGCTGAGGTGGATGGATCGCCTGAACCCAGGAGATCAAGGCTGCAGTGAGCTTGATCATGCTTCTGCACTCCAGCCTGGATTACAGAGTGAGACCCCAACTAAAATATGTATATACACTAGAAAATACTAATCTAAAGTCTTAAAGACAGTGAAAACTTCTAAAGGGATGAGAATAAATTACATAATTTATTTGACTTTATTTGCACTTTAAAAAGCTTGAATGTTACTAACTCTCTAAGCTCTGGGGGCAATATATGAGATTTAACCATGGAGAGACCACATTCAGAAAAAAATATAATGCTTCCTTAAAGGTTCCCAATGGTCACCTAAAATTTTTTAAATGAATGCATTTTTAAAATTAAAATGGAAATCAATATGAAAAACATAACTCACTTTTTCAGGAACACTTTTAACACATAAATAGAATCAAAATATATTCAAACTGTAACAGTAGGTCAACTATTTATAAATAAGAAGCCATTTATAAAGTAAAGTTTCATTTGAGAACAATAGCTTCATTTGAGAACAATATTTGAACATAAATACAAACACTATTTTAGGTTATTCAATGGGATTGGAATATACAGTTAATGGTTAAGACTTCTAAGATCTTTTTGATACGAAATCTAATTATTCATAATTATGATTAACTGACAATGGATTATACAACACATAATTTCAAAGTTGAAAGATTCTATAATAAGTTATTTAACATTAAGGCAATTGACACAGCAAATTTATACATGCAGTGGCAGAGTTTTTAACTTTTCTAGAAATTCAAGACATGCAAACGCATCCCAAAAGCAGACAGGCAAAGCAACAGAACTAATGTGCCTGACATAGGGAAAATGCGAAATGTGCATTCCGTTATCTTATTCAAACAAATTTTGCAAATACAGCACATGAAAAGAGACTATATCATGAGTTAATATTTTTAAAGGCGTCAGAAGTCCAGGACACTGTCATGCAAAATGGTATTGATACGCATTCTAGGATTTGAGTCCAGCTTCATTCAAAACTGCCAACCTTTGAAAAGGCCCAATCACTAAAAGTAAATACATTTTCACATACAAGAATAAAACCAGCCAAACCCATATAAATGGTAATGTAACCTTCTTAAGACAGATAATATATTTAAGCTCAAATTATAATTTTAAAGTACTTTATTATATGGAAAATGATAAGCCACAAATGTCTAAAAAAGAGCTAGAGAACATTTAAAAAAAAGTCTGAAAGAATACATAACACAATGTTATCTATGTGTAGAGAGATTATAAGTAACTGAAAAGTAGTTTTCCTTCTTTTTGGTTTATTTATATATTCTAATTCATTATATTTGAACATGTATAATACATGAGCTATAAAAAATGGAGTAATCACTTGTGAAAAAGTTTTTTTAATATATGAGGATCTAAAACAAGTCTGACATTGGCTAAGAATTATCCTCAAACAAGAATTTTTTTTTTTTTTGAGCTGGAGTCTCACTCCTTTGCCCAGGCTGGAGTGCAGTGGCACGCTCACGGCCACCCCAGCGTTGACCTGCTGGGCTCAGGCGATTCTTCTGCCTCAGCCTTCCAAGTAGCTGGAACGATAGGCACTCACTACCATGCCTGGCTAGTTTTTTGATTTATCGTAGAGATGAGGTCTTGCCAAGTTGCCCAGGCTGTTCTTAAACCTGTGGGCTCAGATAATCCCCTCACTTCAGCATCCCAAAGTGCTGGGATTACAGGCTCGAGCCATCATGCCCGGCCAAGAATGTTTTGACATGACTATCAGAGTTTTTAAAAAATAACAGAAATATATATGGTATTGTTAGTAATATCTCAAAGTATTATTTGTAATATTAGAAGACTGGAAACAATCTGAGTTCCTGCAATAGAAAAGAGGTTCAATCATACCATGGAATATTAGGCAGCATTAAAGAGCTGAACTGAAATGTACCTATACTGATTAGGAAAAAAAAAACTTCAACATATAAACCAAAAGCAAGTATAATATCATCCTATCTATGGTTAAAAAAATTCACATCTGTGTTTTCACATTTTTGTCAACATAAAAATCCAAACTGTTCCCTCCACAGGAAGGTTGTAGGTTAGGTCAGAATACAAACAGGAATCTTCCATGTTTATTGTATATACTTCTGTATTGTTTGAACATTTGTTTGAATATTTTACCATAAAAAAACATATCACTTCTGCAGTTTAGCAAAAAATTGTAAGAATGAAAATACTTTTTAACCCTTTTATTCTGCATATATAGGATCTACATCTTGTACTTATCACCACCTGACATATCACATACCTATTAGTTTTATGTTTTGTGTTCGTCTTGAGAGGACAGAGACTGTTTTTGTTCATATTTATATCTCATGTGTGCAATAGGCACACTCCATTGGTGGTTGTCGTTACTACTATAAATACAATATAGAGAATGAAACAAATCTATACTAGTTTGTGATTTGTTCTCCAAAGAGTCGTTTTGCTTTTATAACAATTTTTTAAAATATCAGTTGCTCAAGTAATTCAAACTTCAAAAAAACCAGATATCTTTTGCCTTAAAAACTGTTGCTTTAAGATAGATATAGTTGAAGTCCCTGAAATATAAATCTTGTCCACATTCCACATAGTACAATTTTTTTAAAGTGTAATTTTTTTTTTTAAAGTCTGTCTCTGCTACTTAAAGTAAAAAAAAAAGCATCATATATGTAACATAAACTGTGGATGCTAGATTGAATATTAAAATAATTTAAATCAATCAGGAAAAAATACCATATTTTTAATACAGATTATCTACTATAATTTTCAAAAACGTATATTGTGCTTTCAAAGAAAAATACATGACCAATTCTGAGGTTAAGGATACTATGGTAATTTGTCTCCCACTGACTTCACTCAACATATGTGGTAACGAGATTAATCTCTGATCATTAAATTAAACTTTTAGCATATACATTATAACTTGTAAAATCATTAGTGAAAACCGCTAATAGCTAAAGCAACAGCATTCTGGTACCACGGAGCTACAACATGAATTTCAGTTCTCTGGTGTTAGCTCAGCACACAAAATAAGCATGCATAGGACAGTGAGAAACAAAACTGCAAGACAACGCCACCTGGCCCATTTTATGAAGTATGGCAAGTGGTTGAGGAGACTGAATGTGTAGAAGGAATAGCGAGTGATCTCTGTCACAGTCCACGCGACCAGAAAAAGCACCACACTCTCCTCATTCTGGATCTGTGAAATGACAGAGATATCCACCGTGTTGTTCAACCTTGAACTTATTTTTCAATGAAGATACTTATTTCAACGAGTTGCTGCCCTTTATGATAATGGAATGCCAGGTTTAGACAAATGCAATACAGAAAACTTAATGTAGTCACTACAATGTCATCGATTATAAACATGAAAATTAAAAATGTCCTATGTACAGAATGGTCCAATATATGCTGATTTGTCCTCCTAATCCTTCACTCTAGCCGATATCTCATCACAGGACATCACCCATTGAAACCAAAACGAGAACAGTTCTACCTCTTTTTTTTTTTTGAAGAAACAGGGTCTCGCTAACTCCTGGGCTCAAGCAATCCTCTGGCCCCGGCCTTCCAAAGCACTGGGATTACAGGCATGAGCCACTGTGTCTAGCTGCTACTTCATTTAATCACTGAAGCATATCTGTTCTACTCACTGTAATACCAGCTGTTAGACTTGCACACTCATCTCCGTCCCTATTAACAATATTTTAATTCAGGCTTATCATCTCTTATCTGCACTTACAACAAAAGTCTCCTATATAGTTTCTCCTCTTTTTATTCTCATGTATGGAAGTTTTCTCTTAAAATGAAGCAAATTTTTTAAAAAATGTTATCAGCTAAGTCTTACTGTTCCCTCACTGATGAAAATAAAAGGATAAACCTTAACACCTGAGCACAGCATTCAAGATTCTTTACAATCTGAGCTCAGAAATCTCTCCAACTTCGTCTACAATCACTCAACCCTCCTACCCATTTATCTCTCTGGTGAGACTAAATTGTGTTATTTCCCAAATATGCTCTATACTTTTGCATCTTTACACATCCTATTCCCTCTAATTGGAATGTTACTTTCTTATTCCATAGAAAACTCTTTCTCATCTTTCAAGATCCAGCTAAAACATCATGCCCTATGGAAAACTTGAGCAGTTATGTGCTTACCATCCTTGTTCTCATGGGACTTTGTTCCTATCTGTATTATAACACTTGCCAATTTGTATTAAAGTATGCCTGGCTAACTCTTGTACATGTCAGCTTCAACTTCTATATCACTGCTTCAGGGAAGTCTTTCTTCATTCTCTAGATAAGACTAAGTCCCTAGGTATGCCGCGGTGTACACTGAGCTCTTGTTTCAAAGCACTTAACACTAACATAATTGCATAAGTACTTATGTAATTATTTGTTCAGCTTCTCTCCCAATTAAAGGCTCCTCAAGGTGGGAACCATGTTTGTATCATTAACAGCCATATCCCCAGGACACTGTCAGGCAGAGAATAGGCGCACATTTAAGCAACTGTTGTAAGATTCAACATCTGTATGACTTTCCTCCACTTCCCAACAGCCAGTACAGTTGACAGCTGGGACTGCCTTATTCATTTCTGTAAATACAGAAATTAGCACGGCACCAAGTGTATAGAATGCATTCAATAAATGCTGTTTGAATTAACTAAGGAGTGGGGAAGAGGTGCCCGTGGGAAGCAACTGCTAGAGAAAAATAAACAGTAATGTTAAGGCAGAGGAGAGCAGATGGATCCTTTTTTCTCTTTGGAACTCACCAAAGTTTCCCTTTATTTTCTCTCTAGTTGACGTTGTCTCTCTTCTCTCTCATTCTTCAGACTCTTTGTGGTCCTAACTCAGCTATGATATTCATTCATTGCCTGGCATGGTCTTTCCTTTACTCTCTTGACAACGCCCCCTGCTTTTAAACTAGGAGGTATTGCTAATGAATAAAAAGTCTGGCTCTCCATGTGGCATGTGTTCGTGATATATCTGTATGGCACTCACTGGGTAAGGGACCAGGTGGATAAAGCAGCCTGAGTGAAAGACACTGGTCGAGAGGGCTAAAGTGTAGAGTAATCAAAGGGCAGGAGGTCAGCGATCTGTCCCCACACAGACAGGGGGCCAGTAAGGCTAAAAGGAAGGGAGCAGGGGTTAGATGTCAGTCCCCAAGCAGAAAGGAGACAAGAAAGGCATCTGAGGAATGGACAGAGGGCCAGAGATCTGTCCTCAAGTAGACAGGAGACTCTGGAGGCCGTCAGAGGTCAGAAGGGTTGAGCTGGGAAAAGTTTCCCATTGTGGGTTTAACAGGCCCTGTATCTTGACATAGCACAGTCTCTGTCTTGTCTAAAAGGTTTAAGCCATTAATTAGATTCAACAGTTAGGCCTGTCTCCTGTCATGCCTCAGTACATAATGTCTGTTTTTCCTTAAGTTTCTTAATAGCTTTTTGAGAATTATTTGTAATTGATAAATCTAAGTTGTACATATTTACATTGTACAACATATTTTAAAATAAGTGCACATTGTGGAATGACTAAATCAAGCTAATTCACATATGTATTGTCTCACATGCTTATCATTTATTTGTGGTGAAAACACTTAAAATCGACTTTCTTAGCAATTTCAAATATACAATACATTGCTATTAACTACAATCACTGTGTTATACAATAGATCTCTTGAACTTATTCCTCCTGTCTACCTAAAATTTGTATCCTTTGACCTATTCTAACTTTTTTTTTTTTTTGAGTCAGAGTCTCACTCTGTTGCCCAGGCAGGAGTGCAGTGGCACGCTCACAGCCACCCCAGCATCGACCTGCTGGGCTCTGGCGGTCCTTCCACCTCAGACTTCCAAGTAGCCAAAACTACACATGTGTGCTACCACGCCCAGCTAATTTTTTGATATATTATAGAGACAAGGCCTCACCAAGTTGTCCAGACTGGTCTCGAGCCCCTCGGCTTGGGCAATTCTCTCACCTCAGCCTCCCAAAGTACCGGGATTACAGGCTTGAGCCGCCGCGCCCGGCCTATTCTAACTTTTAATTTATTCTTTCTTATTGTTCAGATCTATAGAACTGCATTTACTTTTTATGTCTGTTGCATAATATATAATACTCAGTGCTAAATGAGGAAAGATAAACTGTTTATACTGGCAACTTCAATTACACAAAGAGAACAGTTGGATAGAAACTTCTATAGAAAAGAAAATGTTCAGTCAGTTATTTGACAAAATATGAATATCAATTTTAAAAACTGGAAAATATCAGAGGATAATATATTATGTATATAAAATGTCAATGTTTGGTTTTGTTTGTGTTTCCAAGTCGTTCTACTAAAGCACTAAGGCAGTATATGATATTGAAATTCAAACCCAACTCCTTTCTGTCCAATGATTCTGCTTCCTGAAATATACGAAGGTTAATATTTTCGATTCCTAGTAATGGAAAGCTTTCCTGCAGGCTCAAGTAGACAATATGTTTGCAGCACTTACTGGTTTTATACTGTGAGTAATGAGCCACACCATAAAGATTCTTGAACTCACTTGGACCCCAGTCACAATCACAGAAGTAGGTACAATTCCTTAAAGAGAAAGACAAGTCAAACAATGCCCTAAAGGCAGTTTATAACGAAAGTATGAAATTAAAGCAAAAACTCACCAATTAAACAGTGGACTAACTGCAAGCAAATAAAAAAAAACCACAAGTCAATAACATACAATATAAAATAAATCCCTGTCAACATGGGTATTAAACTAATACATAGGTGGTATATAATCCACAAAATAAGATTGATTTTGCTCAATAAAAAAAAATCTTCAAGTCAATATTACAACAACAGAAAAACAGCATGATGAAAAACTTACCTCAAGCAAGGCAAACGTCTGGAAAAATTTAAGTGTCTTCTGGATACTTTTATATAAACCTCTGTGTGTTCCTTTTTCCATATAAAAACGAACCATGGCAATAGCTAGAACCAACCACCTAGAGAAAACAAAAGTATTTTATAAAGTTCCGTCAAGCTTAATACCACTGATCTGTACGCTCGTGTTCACAGCAGCATTATTCATAATAGCTAAAAAGGGGAAAGCAGCCCAAATGTCCATCAATGACTGAATATATAAATCTTACTTATACTTACATATAATTATATACAAATTTTATACAAATATATAGCATATAATTATATGTGGGTATGAGTAAAATTCTTTGATAAAAATCATCAACTAATATTTACATAATTTTTAAAAATAAAAATAATTGCCATGGCACAAAGGGATACATACAGAAGATCAGTCATGGCCCTGCTTTCAAAGAGCTTGTTTTAAAAAAGAGAAAAAGGCTGGGCTCGGTGGCTCACCCTGTAATCCCACACTTTGGGAGGCTGAGGTGAGTGGATTGCCTGAGCCTGCGGGTTCAAGACCCGCCTGGGCAACTTGGCGAGACCTCATCTCTACAATAAATCAAAAAATTAGCCGGGTGTGGTAGTGCACACCTGTAGTTCCAGCTACTTGGAAGGCTGAGGCGGGAGGATCGCCAGAGCCCAGTAGGTCGAGGCTGCGATGGCTGGGAGCGGTCACTGCACTCCAGTCTGGGCGAAAGAGTGAGACTCCAACTCAAATAAAATAAAATAATAAAATAAAATAAAAAGAGAAAAAAAAGTACAATTGCTTTTCAACTTATGTATATTAAATATAGAATCTGTTCCATGAATTAACAGTACTTAGAACATAAGCCATACTTGCGGAGACCAGTTTTCTCATACTTCTCACTCTTCCTAGAGTCACTGATCAGAGGTCATTTTTTCCCCAATTTCCCTTGCAATTATAAAAGCACATTTAGGTTTAAGAAAGATGCCTCATCTGTAGCTTCTGAAAAGCTTTAATAATGCATCCAATGAAATGATTAGCTACCACAGTCTTTTAGGCCATTGTTTTCCAAAGTGTCTAGTTAAATGAATTTATGAAATATAAAATCAGGATGGGGTTTTAACTATTTAACTGAACAATATTCATACAGTAGACAAGTGGCTCTAAAAGACTCCTACAAAGAAACTACTGACTGAATGTGATGAAAATGCACACTCAAGAGAACAATAAGAAGATTGCCCGGTAAGCCGGGCTTGGTGGCTCAGCCTGTAATCCCGGCACTTTGGGAGACCGAGGCAAGTGGATTGCCTGAGCCCACGGGTTCGAGACCAGCCTGGTCAACTTGGCAAGACCTTGTTTCTACAATTAAAAAAAAAAAAGTAACCAGGCATGGTAGCCAAAAAAAAAAAGTAACCAGGCATGGTAGCGCGTGTCTGTAGTTCCAGCTACTTGGATGGCTGAGGCAGCAGGCTCGCCAGAGCCCAGCAGGTTGACGCAGAGGTGACTGTGAGTGTGCCACTGCACTCCAGCCTGGGTAATGGAGTGAGACTCCAACTCAAAAAAATAAAAAAAGTTTTTAAAAAGAGGGCAGAATGCCACTTCTCCTCCTCCTCAACACATGATGAGTTAAAAGCAGTGACTTTCTCATCAGATAGGTCATGAAGGCAGGTAAAAGTTTGAAACTGATACAAAGACCTCTCAAATGCACCAAATTAGTGATAATAACAGCGACATAATAAGCATATTTTCAGAGTGCTTTCCATGATCTAGACAATTCCTAAATACACATTAACCTGCAATTCTCACAATAACCCTATGAGTTAAGGGTCTCCAGTTATCCCGTTTCACTGCTGAGCAAACAGGCAGAGGGGCACAGGGCCAGCCAACTGGGACCTAAACCCACCTCTGAGCTCAGAGTCTGTGCTCTTGAGCCACTCTGCTACACTGGTCTGGCTCTAAGTATATACTGTGCCCTGAGATATTTACATCATATATACTTTTAAAATTTATATGGAAAGTCTATACTCACATATTTTAACTGATAGTAGCATGCCATCAAAAAAGTTTGAAGGCCACTCTTTTAGATGAAAAAATTATTATCTAAAGATGTAAGTGACTTACCCTAAATCTTAGAGTAAGCTAATGGTCAAGTCTAAAATAGAGCCTCTGAGGTCTCGAAACCCCTAGTCCTGTCCTCTTTCCTCACATAACAGCTTTGCTGGATTCAACAAATGGATTCATCTCATGTAAGAGCCAACCCTGAATTCAGTGTTGGTCTTATCCTCAAGCGCTAATCTGGATAATGTTTTAGGTACCTTCCAGGCTTAAAGCATTACGTTTTCATCATCCTCAATTCCAAGTCCCCATCTTCTTCGACTAAGGACACAAAAAAGTTTAGTAAGATGTTTTCATTCACATGTTCCATACACTTGTCTTTTTTAGGCAAACCCAAACCAGACATCTACAAAGGCAGTTTGAGAAGCAGTTATTAACCTACCAGAGAATTCATCAAAGGATTCATTTAGATGGCAAGTCTTCTACATTTTTAAACAGTATTATATCATAACAGAGTACTATATGTTCTCACTCATAAGTGGAACTTGAACAATTATAATATTATAAGAAAGCATTCGGCAGTAATGGGAAACTTGTCGAGGGGGTTGGATTGGCAGTTGAGGGAAACTGCTAGGGGAGGGAGGGGCATACCTCATCAACAAGGGCACCTGCATAATCAATGTTTGTATACCTAACCCTGAATTGTACCCCACATCTTTATAATAGAAAAATAAATAAATATTATATCAAAATCCATGTACTATAACATTGTAGCAAATTCTACCATTGATCCATAGATGGCAGTATTGTACCACCTAGTATAGAATCATGGTTATTTTTTTTTGTTTTCTTTTTCCACTCACTACACTGTACGAAGTAAATTAAAACATTCCAGAGTTTGAAGGGACCATCGAACCATCTATTTTAACCTCTTGTCTGTTCTTCCACAAATGAGGCCATGAGCCAATCTAAAGTAATCAGAGTTCACTTCCTAATCCCTCCATCACAAGGGGAGACAACCAAAGTCTCCAAGGGTCCTCTGTTTAACCCTGAAATTCTTCATTTGTCTGATTAGTTACTGTAATAAAACAAACATAAATTATTTTTATTTTTCACAATTAAGAATTATTTTCTAGAATGTTCTGTTTTGTTTTTATATGCCATGGCCATTGATTGTATGAATCCAGATATACGCAGTCCTTGGTAATAGATTCTCTACAGGGGAAACAAGACAAACAAAAAACCACAAGTGTTCCATATAGAGATTTCTTGCTTGCCTCTTTATTCACTTATTTATTTTTCTGTTTTTAGAGGGTGTCCTAACTGGTGTGCAGTGGCACAGTCATAGCTCACTGCAGCCTCGAACTCTTGGGTTGACATGATCCTCCCAGCTCAGCCTCCTGAGTAAGCTGCCATGCCTGGCTAATTTTTAAAATTTTTTTGTAGAGAGGGGGTCTCACTGTGTTTCCCTGGCTAGTCTCAAGTTCCTGTCCTCAAGTGATCCTCCTGCCTCAGCCTCCCAAAGTGTTGGGATTGCAGGTGTGAGCCATTGTGCCCAGCCATTAATTCACTTATTTATTTGTTCATCTTTAGGATCAACATTTATTACTAAACAGACACGGAAATAAATGCTGGGGAATTAGAGATAGGACATAGGATTTGCCTCAGCGGACACTTAAGTTGGTAAGTGGAAACAACAGATCAGTGCTATAAGACCTAAGTGATCTATACTATAACGTACTAAACACAGGCCACTACAGTCACAATGACCCTGAAAAACCTTACCGAAAGAAGATACTTTTTTTTTTGAGTCGGAGTCTCTGTCGCCCAGGCTGGAGTGCAGTGGCACACTCACGGCCACTGCAGCCTCAACCTGCTTGGCTCCTGCGATCCTTCTGCCTCAGCCTTCCAAATAGCCAGAACTATATGTGCGCGCTACCATGCCCGGCTAATTTTAGAGATGAGGTCTCGCCAAGCTGCCCAAGCCGTTCTCGAACCTATGGGCTCAGGCAATCCTCACATCTCGGCCTCCCAAAGTGCTGGGATTACAGGCTGAGCCACCGAGCCAGCCTCTGCTCCATATTTTTAAAGGATATAAAAGGAATGTGTATGAGATCATAATAATAATAATAACAATAACAATGGCTACATGTACTGAGTCTTTTTTTTTTTGAGTCGGAGTCTCACTCCATCACCCAGGCTGGAGTGCAGTGGCACACGCTGACGGCCACCCCATCACGGCCATCAACCTGCTGGGTTCAGGCAATCCTTCGGCCTCAGCCTTCCAAATAGCTGGAACTACAGGTGCATGCTACCACGCCCGACTAATTTTTGGATTTATTGTAAAGATGAGGTCTCACCAAGTTGCCTAGGGTGTTCTCGAATCCATGGGCTCAGGCAGTCCCTTCACCTTGGATTCCCAAAGTGCTGGGATTACAGGCTTGAGCCACCACGCCTGGCCAAGATGGCTTTCTTCTAGCTGTCTGCCAGTGCCGCTTTTTCTCCTGAGATTTCCTGGAGGCCACCTGTTTTCTGAAAACGTTGGTAATCTATAGTCATGCCCCCATCAAAATGAAATTAAACACTGCCTTTAAATTGTTTATTATGAGCAATCTCAAAAATACACAAAGGTATATTTGGCATAATAAACCTTCATGGGCCACTATCCAGCTTCAACAATTATCATCTTATGGACGACGTTGTTTCATCCAAGCCCCTACTCCCGCTCCTTTCCTGATTATTTTGAGTCTAACCCAGACAGCCCATAACATGATTCAAAAATGTTTCATTATGTATTTGTAAAAGGACTATTTTTAATAAACATAGCTATAATACCACTATCCCATAAAACCATATTAACCAATCAGTAATAAATTATTATGATTTTTTGAAATAGAGTCTCACTCTGTCACCCAGCCTAGAGTGCAGTGGTGCGATCATAGGTAACTACAGCCTTGAATTCCTGGGCTCAAGGGATTCTCCTGCCTCAGCCTCTTGAGTAGCTGGGACTACAGGTCTGCACCACCATGCCTGGCTACCTTCAATTTTTTTACTTTCATCGAGATAAGGTTTCACGTAGGCTGGTTGCAAACTACTGGCCTCAAGCAATCCTCCTGCCTCAGCCTCCCAAAGTTTTGGGATCGGAAACATGAGCCACCACACCTGGCCTAATAACAAATTCTTAATATCAAAAAAACTAGAACCAGGGTACAAATTCCCTCAATTGTCTCATAATTTTTAAAATCATGGTTGAAATAGGATTCAAACACTGTACTTAGCTGGTATGTCTTTTATGCCTTTTTTAATCTATAATTTTTCCCATCCCACTGACTCTTCTGTCTCTGTCTTTCGCAATTTGTCTGAAGATATTGGGTAATTTGCCCTGCGGCTACCCTCAGTCTAAATAAATTTTGTTAATTGAATACCTACATGTCATTTATCATACTCTGTCCCCTGTGTTTCCTGTACATTGGTAGTTAATTCCAGGGGCTTGATCAGATTCGTGTTTGATTTTCTGACAAGACCAATTCATAAGTTGTTGTGGGTACTTCTACAAAGGGGGGGAGGGCTCCAGAAAAACTCAAAATT